TGAATTAAATGTTGTACCCGCTATCACAATTCCAATTTTGTTTTAGGTCCTTTGTTATTTTTTTTTGTTTTTCATCTTTTTCATTTTTTTTTGTAAGGTGCAAGAGGAAGAATGAACTCTGTTCAATCTTGTATCCTATTGACAAGTTTGTATTATGTTTTTCTCCATATTGTATCATGTTATTTCAGCTGTCAATAAATTCATCTATTGTTATTATTATCATTATCATTATTATTATGTTATTAGTAAAATCGAATGTTCACGTTGAACTTATCTTCTTTCGTACTCATACGAGTCAATGTTCTTATGAAAGTAGTTATTTCGAAAGAGATTCTTCTTTCAGTTTGTATCTGAAAAAGTGAACAGTTATGCATGATCTACAGATCTTTGTCGAGAGCGTATTTTGAATTGCTACCTTTTTTTAAAGAAGCTTCCCGCTCTTTTGGAGATTGATCAGTGACAATCCAGAAAACTTCTCTCACGAAAAGTATCACCCATCTAATTTTCACACGACCTTTGGATCATTTCATCCCAGCATATTCAAAGAAGATTTTGTCATCGTCTTTCCTGAAAGTGTGATAACGAAATTCGCGAGAAACCGAAATGCAATCAGCTTTATTAAAACACATTGATAATTTATGGATGTAGTAACTCCGTCTAATCACCTAATTGGATTTTCTGCTTTGGTGAGACTGTTCATTTTATCATTCTATTAGAGCAAAGTTGGAGCAATTCATCCGTTCGAACTGTAACTCATGCAGACGATTTAATTTCCATTAACAATGGATGTGCATGTTGAAAGCTGTTTTCACTGAGAAGAGATTCTGGTCAGTCTGCAATCCATTCAATTAGGTGTATTTGGTTATTCCTAGCTGAAAAAAAAAGCCTGAACTGACTTATGATAATGTATCATATTTAATTTTCCACGACTGACTAGTAGACATGAACTCCTACCAAACAACAACGTATAAATTAGGAAACTAGATGTCATCACTTTTCCAGTCAATTGACCCCAAAGAAATTCCCTCCTCATTCAATTCGGGTCATTTCCATGATATGAGATATGTCTACCACATGGAATGTTTCATATACACTCATTACTCACACCTGCAGTTAAATTCCCAACTACATTTGGCAACTAAAAGGCATTTGCCTATGAGAAAGCTCTGTGCTGTGTGGATGCCGCGCGAGCTCACTGTTGATCAAAAACAAGAACAGACATGTTTGCGTCATTCTGAAACCAAAACGATTGTCATCTGAGTGGAGAGCAACTGGTGATCCCCTTTCAAAGCTCCTAAAAGCACAACAATCAGTTGAACAAGTGGTATTTTGGAATGTGTGTGATAGACTATCTTGAGAAGAAAAATACTATCAACAGTAGTATAAAGCGTTATTGGAGCAAAGGAAACAATTTTGCACAGAGCACCGTGTCACAAGTCAATCAGAAAAATGGCACAATTACATGAATTGAACTTTGAATTGCTCCCACATCCACCATATCCACCAGATTTAGCTCCCAGCGACTACTCGCTTTTGGCAGACCTCGAACAATGCTTACCAGTGAGGAATTTTGCTCGAATGAAGAGGTTATTGTTGAAACTGAGGCCGATTTTGAAGCAAAGGTGAATCGTTGTACAAAAGAGGTATTGAATTGCTACAGCAGCTCTGAAATGATTGTGTGTCTCTTAATGGAGCTTACGTTGATGTATAAAGCCAATTTCGAACAAAAACAACGCGTTTCATTTTTCAGGCCCTGGGCTTTTCAGTCCAAGTGTATATGTCTGGGAAAGAAAGGTTTCGGTTTTCTACTCCTCCATCTTCATACAAAAAAAAAGTGGGAATCTTTCAAAGGAAGGAAGAGAGCCAAAGACCTTCCTTTTCCAAAAACATCCTTCCCCAAAAATATATTTTCTTATTTAGGAATATGTACTTTCTTTTATATATTATCTCATAATTATCCGGAACAATCGCAATTCTCGCAAACACGTTTTGCGCAGGGCCATTTAGGCAACCGATAAGAAGGTGTACCCTATCAAGATTTGTCAAATTTGGATTCAAATGAACCCTACTCTTATAAACAGCATGAAATGTTTCCCACTGACGAATTTCCCCATGAAATTCTAGTAAATTTGGATGTGGGATTTTTAAAGAACTACGTAAAGAAGGTGCACCACTGCCATCACTAGCACCAGAACCTGCACTACTTGATGAAATATTAGTAGGGAATTTAATACTTAGTGCTGCCATTTGAATGTAAGAACAAACTTCATTATTTGTTTGAATCGCCTTGTAATCTGGAGTGTAGTCCTCGTTTATTTCAAATTGTACATCATTGATTTGATCCAACATCGAATAAATGTTACTCTTTGTTTCCTCGTAATTTATCATTAAACTCTGAAACTTCTGTTTCATTGATTCCGTTGACAAACTTCCACTCAAATCGTACAACTTTTGTAAAATAGCAAACAAATTTTCTTTTTTGGCTATAATTTTTTTCAACTCCCTTTCTGAGGTAGTCATTCTAAAGATAATATGCAATTATATCCGCTAACTGAAGGAAAACACAATATCAGTTCAAATCGATTAAAAACCGTTTTCCTAGTCAGCGTGAACCAATAAATAAGACTTCGTATTTCTGACAAACGTGCACTCTCCACGCGACAACCTCAACGAAAAACTGTTCACCGACCGATCGATGTTTTCAGTTTTTTTTAAGAAAAGGTCACCCAGATGAGATAAGAAAACAAGAGCCGAGCCGGTAAATATTCAATGAATTGACTCTTTTTTCACTGATAATCCGGCTCGAAGGACCAAATGTTCCCTCTTAGCTCAGTTGGAAATTGGAAATCATACTCACAGATTGAGATTTGTATTTCATCGGTTCGGACTTCGATTGTCTTCAATGGAAGACAATGGAAGTCCTAACTGATGAAATACACCACGAAACATTGTCAACCACCTCCAAACAAAGATTGAGATTTGGTTGTTGATACTTTTCCTTGGCTTGTCGGTCCAACTGTGGACTGTGGAAAGTTTGGATAAGGATATATGAGCAATTCTACAATTTCTTTAAATCGAAAGGACCAGCTAGCCGAACCTAGCACAGTTGTCGAACTTTTGCAATAACTCATAAAAAATAAAGAAAACCGTCGAAAATTGTACACCCGATGTGCATTGATGATAGTATAATCTCTTATTGAATTGTTTTCCCACTCTCTGGTCAGCCAAAGAATACAATGTTGCCGGACTGTCCTCAATTGAAAATAAATGTTCATGTTCACTCGAATATAACTAGCTTATTATCTCCCCAGAACTGGCAAAATGAGGTCATTTTTGACTATTTTTATTTTTCAAGTATTTGGCAATCCTGCAGATTTGAAAACTGGTATGATCATCATGAATTGAACTTTGAATTGCTCCCACATCCACCATATCCACCAGATTTAGCTCCCAGCGACTACTCGCTTTTGGCAGACCTCGAACAATGCTTACCAGTGAGGAATTTTGCTCGAATGAAGAGGTTATTGTTGAAACTGAGGCCGATTTTGAAGCAAAGGTGAATCGTTGTACAAAAGAGGTATTGAAATGCTACAGTAGCTCTGAAATGATTGTGTGTCTCTTGATGGAGCTTACGTTGGTGGATAAAGCCCATTTCGAACAAAAACAACGCGTTTTATTCTCCAGGTCCTGGGCTTTTCAGTCCAAGTGCATATGTCTGGGAAAGAAAGGTTTCGGTTTTCTACTCCTCCATCTTCATACAAAAAAAAGTGGAAATCTTTCAAAGGAAGGAAGAGAGCCAAAGACCTTCCTTTTCCAAAAATATCCTTCCCCAAAAATATATTTTCTAGTTTAGGAATATGTAGTTTCTTTTATATATTATCTCATGATTATCCGGAACAATCGCAATTCTCGCAAACACGTTTTGCGCAGGGCCCTTTAGGCAACCGACAAGACGTTGTGCCCTATCAAGATTTGTCAAATTTGGATTCAAATGAACCCTACTCTTATAAACAGCATGAAATGTTTCCCACTGACGAATTTCCTCATGAAATTCTAGTAAATTTGGATGTGGGATTTTTAAAGAACTACGTAAAGAAGGTACACCACTGCCGTCACTAGCACCAGAACCTGCACTACTTGATGAAATATTAGTAGGGAATTTAATACTTAGTGCTGCCATTTGAATGTAAGAACAAACTTCATTATTTGTTTGAATCGCCTTGTAATCTGGAGTGTAGTCCTCGTTTATTTCAAATTGTACATCATTGATTTGATCCAACATCGAATAAATGTTACTCTTTGTTTCCTCGTAAGTTATCATTAAAGTCTGGAATTTCTGTTTCATTGATTCCGTTGACAAACTTCCACTCAAATCGTACCACTTTTGTAAAATAGCAAACAAATTTTCTTTTTTGGCTATAATTTTTTTCAACTTCCTTTCTGAGGTAGTCATTTTAAAGATAATATGCAATTATATCCGCTAACTGAAGGAAAACACAATATTAGTTCATTTGATTGAAAACCGCTTTTCTAGTCAGCTTGAACCAATAAATAAAACCCCGTATTTCTGACAACCGTGCACTCTCCACGCGACAACCTCAACAAAAAACTGTTCTCCGACCGATCGATGTTTTCAGTTTTTTTATCAGGAAAAGGTCACCCAGATGAGATAAGAAAACAAAAGCCGATAAATATTCAATGAATTGACTCTTTTTTCACTGATAATCCTGGCTCGATGGGACCAAATGTTCCCTCTTAGCTCAGTTGGAAATTTGTGAAATTGGAAATCATACTCACAGATTGAGATTTGTATTCCATCAGTTCGGACTTGTCTTCCATTGAAGACACCACGAAACATTGTCAACCACTTTCAAACAAAGATTGAGATTTGGTTGTTAATACTTTTCCTTGGCTTGTCGGTCCAACTGTGTTCACTCGATAAACTTGGTTGGAAAGGAAAGTTGGGATAAGGAAATATGAGCAATTCCACAATTTCTTCNAACGTCTCAGCAATCAATGAATTAGAGCTTTGATAGCTGAAGTTTTCTATATTGCTTGAGTTGTTTCTTCAGTTCCTTCCTCAGAATTTTTCCACTTGGATTTTTAGGAATAGACGATACAAATATTATACCCCCTCGGAGTTTTTTCTGTGGCGAAACTTTACCTGAAATGAAAAATATCAATGAAATCAAATATAAATTCAGAGAAATTTTCTGGATGTTTTGAAAATTAAACCATATTTCAATGACACAGTAAGATTAGAAAAGGGTATCATATGACATTTTTCATTAAGGAGACGCTTCTACTTTTGCAAGAAAATTTTTCAAAATTACACCTCGATAGTGATTTTTGGTGAAGTTGGTGAAAACATAGTTGAAAGAGAACTTGACTATATATATTTAACGTCTTTTTTTCATTATGTTTTTTCATCTCGTTCATTTCCATCAATATGAATGAAGAAGTATTTCACAAAAATCTTGGAGGTAATCAAAGAGACATGCTCAAACTCTCTTCTATATTTCGGACAAATGTTAATGATTATTCAGTTCTCAATCAGGAAAATGGATCTTTTATGAATGAGATTTGGTAGCTTTGAGGTATGCTTGGAAGCGAAGCTCTATATATGTGAGCTATATTCCAAGAAAAGGTCCACTTTGATCTTTGTGGAATATTTAAAGTTGCTGCGATCCGTACAACTTTCTACTTCGGAATGAAATTAGAGTTAATTATTTTCTCTTATCAAGTTGATGGTGCCATTATCATGTTCGGTGCTGCCAATTTTATTTTCTTCAGAAAAAACTAATACTACCTGATTGGTATAAATGGAATATTTGGAGTTGAATGAATCTATTGAAAACATGCATCCGGGAAAAACATTTTCTTGGTGAGGAGAGGCATCAAACAAGGTAATCAGTTGAGGATCATTGATGAATTTTCAGTGTTGGTTATTGTATTGCTTGGTCCGTGACCATGAAAGAGCCGGAATTGGAGCATTTCTCTTGAGGGCAGCTGCCCGAGCAGCTGATGAACTCTGTATAGTTTTCGACAGTGAACGAGGTGACCACAACTCTGTCATTGAATTGGAGGCCGTTCAGCAAAAACCTCAGATAAAAGCCGCAGAGATCACCTCACTTCTGCGGAAACACGAGGATAAGCGAATGTATTAGGTCTTCTTCAATAACATTGGAGACCTTGGCTTATCAAAGAACCTGACGTTCGCTTTTCTCAGGTCGAGTGGGCTAAAGTCGGAAACTGAGGAGTTCATCATAGCTTGCCAGGATGGTGTCTTCAACACCTTAGTCTACCGCAGTTGCATGATGGGTATAGAGGTTTGCACTTGCAAACAGCATGTCCAGTATATGTGGTCTCGGCCTATGTATATCGACATAACGTGGTCCTAAGAGTGATGTATTACAATCTACGGTACTCTAACGGTATTGACGAGACACCGGTGTTGCCCTACGCTCCGGAGATATTGAATCTGTTGTGGGAAACGAGAAGTACCTAATTCATTGGAATAATTCGTTTCCCACCCTCAGGCTCATAGAAAAGCTTGATGTAGTCCTTCTCGACCACGAGAGCAAGCCGATATTTGTCATGGAGTTTTCAGCTCCTGGCGAGACGAATATCGTCTGAAAAGAGGAGAAGAAACGGATGAATTATCGAGATTTTGTCTTCGCACTCCCCAGATTCTCTCCAGACCACTGTGTCAAGATGGTTTTTCCGATTATTGGAGTCCTTGGTGGAATGATGCTCTCTCTAGTCTCAAATCTCAAAATCAGCCGGACAGATGCACTGTCACTGCGCTTGCTCAGGGAACATGATTCTCTCAGAAGTTGGAAAGATTCTGCTATCGTAGGTTATCTCGCCAGTAATTTTGAATATTTATTGGGTCCGAACAAGTTCAAATCTACTCGAGTTACGAAATATAATTTGACAAAGTGTTACTCCAATTATCGCCCACAGTTTTTGAAAATAAACTGCTCTACGAAAATGAGGATGCGATTGTCGTTCTCATCATGGAGAGTCATCAGGTGAAGAAGAAATATCAAATAATTTTTTAGTGGAAACTGTTTCTATATAGGATAGAGGAAATACTTTTGTCTAATTTATATCAAGTTCATCACTTGTTGTGACCGTCTTGTATAACGAGTTTTGTCTTAGCTATCTCATCTTGCCCCAGTCTCCCCTATAGGACTGTAATGGTCTCTTTTTCTCAGGATTCAGCCAATTAAGCTCTTCTGAAGGACCTGCGCTATGAACACGACTTTCTTAGCTACAGTCATCAAACTAATTATTGCAATACTTATCTGATATTCATCAAGTTTTTACTTGTAACAAATATGTGAAAAAGGGAAAAAGTTAACGGCAAACTGTTTGGAATAAGACCTTGAATGCAACTCATAGTTCTCATTTCACACTTATGTATTCATAAACCACCGAAGGTTTCTTTGAATCTATTGTCATGTATTGGTCTCAAGAATTTCAAACATTCTTCGTTTATTCTGAGACTCAATGAGCCTCAGTAGGCTCTTTATGGAACCAAATATGTGAAACTTATTTCTAATAGTGAGTTGCCAGTTTGATTTGACCGACATACATTTCATAACAATCCTCACATCTTGTTTCCCCACTATTTTATTTATCGAGTTGCTTTATTGAAGTGCACGACCAGTTCTAAAAGACAATTTCATATTCAGTTTTTCGAAAATTCAGACCAATTCGTTGGTCCATGTGTAAGAAATACAAATGTTGAGTAATGTCTAATGAGTTCAAAAGTGGGCTAAGAGCACAACCCTGTGAAACCCTGGAGGTCATAACAACACACTTAGAGGTCATAACAACACACTAAGAGGTCATAACAACACACTTAGAGGTCATAACAACACACTTAGAGGTCATAACAACACACTGTTAACGACCTTCTGATACCTACATACCTGCAACATACTCTTGCAGCTCCTTCTCGGTAACATCATCACCATTTTTTCTGACCACAAAAGCAAGTGGCAACTCTCCAGCACGCTCGTCAGGAAGTCCGACCACCCCTGCTTCAAGGACATGTGGATGGTTGACCAAAATAGCCTCAAGTTCCGCAGGTGCAACTTGATACCCGTTGTACTTGATGAGTTCCTTGAGCCTATCAACGATATAGAAGTAATTATCGCTGTCATAGTAGCCTAAATCGCCTGTTCTCAGCCAACCATCTGAGGTGAAAGAACCTGCGGTTGCTTTGGGGTTCTTGTAGTATCCTTGCATTACGGAAGGTCCTTTGAAGCAGAGCTCGCCAACGTTGTAGGGGCCAAGACATTTGCCTGTGTCTGGATTTCGCACTTTGCAGGTCATGTATGTGATGACTTGGCCACAAGAGCCTGGTCTGTATACTGATTTGTTCATTATCGTTAGAGCTAGGGTACCTTCTGTGCAGCCGTACGCTTGGGTGATGATTTTCACGTTCAACCTGCAAAACAAAACAAAATTTATTAGCCTGCAGTGAGTTTTTTTATGTTAGATATAGATTGACTTCCCATACATCATCTCTCAGGTTATTGAAACCAGAATCTATTAATAAAGCACTCGTGATCCAACAACGAACAACGGTGTATCTACCCGTCAAGGTCACATCAATGGCGCTAGGCTGAATCAAGAATACACTGTAGTCCTCAAGTTTCTTTAAGGGACAAGTCTTAGTGGATAAGGTAATGCAACCTCTCTTTACAAAAATGTCATCTGTGGGATTGACAAGAGACTATTGAAATCTGTATTTTCGTTAACTAGCTGTTGCTCTCCTACGAATGACACTTATAACAAGTCGAAACTTGTACGAGCTAATGACTAACGAGGTCCCACCAAGCTACCGTTTCACTCAAAAGTCAACAATATCAATCTCAAGGCTTCCCTAAGGCAGTGAGATGAAAGTTCAAGCTTTTTCATCGCCTGCGGGACTAGTTTCCACTGCAAGCCGACTTGTAACCAAGATCTGAAATTACGACATTCGTATTACTACACCAGATAGCACCGTTTTCTTCATTGGGCAGCATCGTTTCGATGCTCATGGGTCTCATCGGTGGTGCTAGTCTAGTGGACTCAGTTCTCCTTGAAGAACAAACCTGAGGGAAAGAAGGCGATGGCATTTCACTAAAGGTGAACGCAGTATATAGTATTGGATTCTTGAAATGATGTTTTCGGGCTCTATTTGCTTTGGAGTGTTGGGCTCCTAAGAAGAACAGATAACGAATCTAGTTCGACCAACGATGCAATGAAATATATTTGCTAGTATCGAGTTCCTCGTAGCTGTTCCTCATCTTCGAGTTCAGTAAATTTGGTCGTTTATGACTTATTTTCAACATTAATTTGATCTGGTGATGATCATGAAAGAGAAATTGGTTATTTGTTCTGTCATTCTTTCCTCAAGTTGGAAAATATTACTGAACAACATGATCACTGTTTTCTCAATGTATTATATCACTATGTAGTGTTAAAATTAGGTGTACGATCAACGTCATAAATGAAAAGAAAATATAATACATTGTTTTGAATTTGAAGTACATTGTACTTTTCATTCAAATTCATGTCAATACATGTCAAATTCGATATTTGAGAGAAGTACCTGCATTTTGCGAAGATTAGAATTGAATCAGTGATACTACTGTATTTATTGGGTACATCGATGAAGATCTTTAACATATCTTCAATTATCTTGTAGCAAAGTTGTTTCTAGTATAATATTTCAGATGAGAATGTTTTCGCAAATGATTGCAATTGGGGTTTTGATATTGAATTCCCTCTAGGAATTTCATAGATGAGACAACTGCCCGTCAAGATCATAAAAATCAATAGTATTTCTTGGTCACTCCATAATATTCGATTGTCTATCATGATGATGTTAACATCTCATTTGAATGTTATAGACTATAGAAATTCGTCTTCATAGTTTCATTTCACCAAATGGCCTACCAATTTGTTTTTTACAAACTTAGGCTGAAAGAAAGTTATGTGAATGGGAAATTGTTCAATTTTGAATTGATTCATACTTGAGGCATCAGAAGAACCCAATAATATGAAAGAACGCCAATTTGAGACATGAGCTGCTCAGAAGAATAAGAGCTACAGAGATTACTAGACTTCTCTGTCATATTCTATGTACTGAAAATAGTGTCTTCATAAGTTTTGTTTGTCTCACCTCTCCTTCAATAGAACTTCAGTTTCCCCGCTCAGTGGTGCAGCAGCACAGAATATTTCTGCAATACTGGATAGGTCATAGTCTTGTATTTTGGGAGTTTTGGACAAGAAGATTGCTAACGGAGGTGTCACTCTCACAACTTCAATTTTGTAATCTTGTATGGATTTGAGGAAGAAGTCTTCTTGGAATTTATCCATCATCACAGTTAGGTGTCTATTGAAAATTGAAGTGAGGCCAAAAATGAGACCATAAGAGTGGAAAAACGGCATCAGACCAAGGACTCTTGTATATTTCGATAGATAGGCAGGATCCCTGAAAAAAACATGGATTTTTTCATACTTGACGATAAATACTATCCAGGAAAATCTCTTGTTACAGTTTCATACCCACCTTGATTGTAGTAACCGTGTCACAACGTTACTGTGTGAGAGCATAACACCTTTTGGCATGCCAGTGGTTCCGGATGAACACAAAATGAAAGCAATGCTCTTCTTGGGGTCTCCGTCGAAGGGCAAGAAATTGAATGGAGATATTGTTCTACCCTTCAACTGATTGGATACGAAATTTCTCAAACAAACTGCTCCCCCAACATCTTCATCGCTGTCTATGACAATCACCTCTTCTATGAAGTTCATTTTCTTCTTTAAAGTTAAATACTTTGAAGTAGCTCTCTTAGAGCAAAATACTAAACGTGGTTGTGTGATGTTCAGAGTGTGATTGAGCTCTAGGGTGGTGTAGTTCACACTCACCGGTACCAGGATGGTACCAGCAAAAAGGGACGCCAAAACGATTTCGAAAAACTCTAGGTTGTTCTCACTGCCAATACCGATGGTAGTTTCTTTGGTGCATCCATAAGCACGAAGGGCTTCAGCCAGACTGCATGATTTTTCCAGAAGGGTTTTTGTCGACAGGCTCCTACCAGTATGTGCATCAACCTGTAAGAGAAGGTGAATGTAAATTATTTGTTACAATAAACAATTCCTCTGAAGAGTTTGCAGTTGTTCGGTATGAGGAGAATCAGATTGATTTATTGGATTAGGAGGATCAAAATTGACAGAACACATTTTGAAATGGGACGGTGAACATCGAATCGAATGGTCAAAGATGTGAATGATTGAAAGTGAGCTTTACTCAAGTGAGGCGTAAGCTCAAAGAATCAGTGTATTAGACTGTTCAAAAAATGAGGTGAATGTTAAAATTTTGCTGAATAGGTCCATTCGATTAGCTTTTTTTTCATTTTTTAATGTTGGTACACTCGTCTCGAATATATATTCACAGTTTCAGCTGTTCAGTTTGTTTAGTTTGTTGGTGATAGGCATCAAAGATAGAAGTATTTTGCTTGTTTGGCGATTTTCTGCTATCGAGAAAATAAATCAACGAATTTGCATGAATTTTTTGGTAAGAAATGGATCTGAGTGCTCCAAAACACTTGAAATATTGACAGTGGCATACGTTGATTCTACTCTGAATCGAAAAAATGTTTACAAGTGGTACAAGATTTCTACAGAATGTCAATAGAATGTGAATGATGACGCTCGTCCTGGACGCCACATTACATCAACAAGCAAGCAATAAAAAGGCTGAGAAAGTGAAGAAAATTATTATGAAAAATCGTAGAAATTCTATTAGAGAATATGCTGAGGATATTGGCATATCGATTGGCTCATGGCATGCAATTTTTTTGAAAATTTTGGTCATGAAGCGTGTGTCAACGAAGTTCGTTCAAAAATTGCTAAATTTTTTGCAAAAAAACCGTCTCATGAGCATTGCTCGGGAATTGTTGAATGATGTGAACGCCGATTCAAATTTTGCGTCAACTGACGTGTCAACTGGCGCAGCGTTCTTGTAATTTGTATCTAACTGAAGGTAAATGAACCTCTTCGCACTGAAAATAACATTGCCAAATCTTACCAAAATCGGTTGAGTTATATTCATCACATCGACACGCAAAAGAAGCTTTTCAGAAGAGCCTAACATCCCGTTTCAACATATCCAGATATATGTTCATGTAACTTTTTCCATTGAATCAACAATTCCATATACAGGGTGTAACTGAATGAGTGTAAAACATTNGCATTTATGACGATGTATCTCTGTAGTTGTTCGTAATAATTTTTTTCTGCGAACTGGTTTATTTTGGACCAAAAACCCAAGAAACATTTTTTATTTAGAATGAAACAGGCTTTAGGAAATGAATTTTTGAATGGTAAACAAATGATAAAACAAAAAGTTACATTGGAAATAAATTTTAGGGGTTGCGTTTTCCACCCCTTATAGCCATGGGGTAAACCGAATAAATTGCTGGATAAGTGTTTTTTTGGTAGTAAAAAACGTCAGGTCGATTTCAATATTGTAACTTTTTTAGTGCTTGTGAAAAAAATTGTTATACAAATTTTATGTCCTACCCCCAGGGGCTGTATCTCAACAAGGGATGCTCCATTGAAATTTCTTTATATAAAAGATCCTATCTTTTTTTCGTTGAGGAATCACTTCCTTGAATGTTTTACACCCTGTATTTCTCCACCGCAGTTAGGAAACGCCTAATGTAAAGTCTCGTTACCCCCCGTTTTAGTTTGCCGGTATTGTTTATGAATCAAATTGTAGTATATTCACAGGTACATCAAATGTTAAAAGTTGGTTGGAATTGAATTTCCAACAACTGAAATATGGAGGTGACTGCAATAAAAAAACAAAATTTTGAGCAGTGGAGTTCAGAATTCAGGCAGTGGAACCTTTTCTTGATGCGAAACTTTTCTTAGGTTCTTTACAAAGAGAGAAGAGTTTTTGAAATTAGAAGTTTAGGAACCTCAAATAATATACAATTTGTACAAGATCACAAACTTTTGGTTTCGAACCTAAACGATATCGAAACCAGAACCTTTCACAAATCAATTGATTGAAACAACCAATGTTCTGTTCTGTTCTGACTTCAACAGAAGGCATTCAAATATATCAAGCCTTCGATATGGATGGAATCCCTCCAATATCAGAAATTGCTCGAATTTTCATATTGATCTTTTGCTTGAATATTAATTTTCAATACAAATGAGAATTGAAATGTTCGAAATTTTGTTCTACAAAAAAAATCAAACAGAAGTGTGTCTCATTCATTTGTTATTCTACGTGAATTGAAAATCACAATTTTTTTGGACGGGCAGACTTTCAGGACTCCCTTTTATTTCACAACAGAAAACAAAGTCCCATTCTGAAACTGGCAAATCTTCCACGAGTTACCTTGATTATAGTTACTACACACAATCTCAATGTTGTTGTTTGTTTCACGAGAAATTATTCAAATGATTGAATGAGAAGTCTGGAATATTACTTATCTGCATCCACACGACTGAATCTCATGAAATATCTGACCTGTGTAATGTCTCCTGAACTATAATCTCTCACCTCAAGATATGGTAAAAATTCAAAACTCTCATGAGTATTTTTTTCTGTTCATTATGAATTATTCCTATATGAAGATAACAATTTCTTTCATAAATATTTGATATTTTGATAAACAAATTCTTTGTTTTTTCTGATTCAAAAGTGTCAATGAATGCTATAATATGTATTTGTGAATATTGTTAATAAATGAACTTAAACTATTTTATTGAATTATATTGTTTTGTGTTTCATCTTATCGTAACATACTGTTCATTACTTCATTTATTATTAACACTTAGGAGAGATTTNTTATCGTAATATACTGTTCATTACTTCATTTATTATTAACACTTAGGAGAGATCTATAGATAAAATCATGGGTTGAAAATTGTGAATGAACTAGAGCAACTAATGCGATGAACAGAGGATGAGGTAGGAAATGAGAAAGAAAAAAGTTTCCTGATGCCTGTGATGCAAATCTTATAGATAATTTCGCATGCATCAATCATAATGAGGAGGAAATAGTTTCAGTGGCAATATCACATGCACGCAAATCCGGTTCATTTGTATTCGAATTCCTTTCTTCCTTCACAAAGAAAGGGTGAGATTAGGTTATGTTTAGGATGAGTCAGTTAAGAGTTAGGTTAGGGTTACGTTAGGTTGGGTTGGGCTTAGTTAGGTCAGGTTGAAATATGGAATTGTATATTTCGATTTTTTTTTCAATAGTTATTTTCTCGCTCTGAAACCCCTTCCATTCTGTTCCTCTCATCAACCCCTTTCGATTGTTATGCCGCGTGGTCCCAATAACCGAAGTACAACCAAAATTTTAAATGGTATAGAGACATTTATGTTAAGATGAGATTTTGGATGAAAATGAAATATTACAGTCAAATATAATTGCTGTAGCGAATTACTTTCAATGAAAAATTAAACTCATCTGCTTAGTAGCTCAAGTGACATGAACTTACACTTTCACGATGGGATGAAAATAAATAAGGAACATGTTTGAATAATCTTCATTTAGGTTTTTGTTTAAGAACTTTTGTTCCATTCAATTTCAAGAGATCTAACAAAATTAATAAAAATTCATTATCTCCTCAATACATAGGTAATATTTGACACATTATTTGAAAAACAAAGAGAAGATTTTATCAATATATTCTTTCAATAATGAAATTTTTTTTGGTATACATTTTTTCAAACATATTTGATTATTTATCATTAGCCAATTCTTTCTTCTATTTGAAATTTTCCATTCTTGATGAAAATTACAATGGTTGACATGATTTGCCTATGGAATTGAATATATTTTGTCTCAAGTATGTTACATTATTCTTTAGAAACATTATTGAAATTATTTGTAGGGGTTTCCACAAAATTTTGTGAAAATAAGTTTTTTTCATCGACTAGAAGTCGTTCCTAAACCAATGGCAAGCCTCAAAATTCAAAAATTGGTACTCTGAGTCAGAAAAATGTTTACAAGTGGCTTTTCAAAGAAGGTCAAGAAGCTGTGAATGATGATGCTTTTCCTGGACGCCACAGCTTCAACAACCAATCAAAATGTTGAGAAATTGTAGTATATCAGCAGTTATATAAAATTTTTTAAGTTAGTCGGAATTGCATTTCCACTGACTGGAATATGGAGGTGACTACAATAAAAGTGTAACATTCTGTGTAATGAAGTCACTTCAGGAGTTTGAAAGTTAGGCAGTGTAGCCTTTCCTTTATGCAAAACTTCTATTAGGTTCTTTACACAGAGACAAAAAGTCATCAACAATGTTTTGATACTAGCCTGTGTAACCTTGTTGAGCTTTCCAAAGAAAGTCGAGAAGACTTTCTTTGGAAAGCTCAACAGCGAATAACATCGCTTGCCCTGGGCACCCCAGCACATAAACAATCAATGAAAATTTTGAGAAAGTTAGGAATTGATCGAATCACTATCGGAGGATGCTGGCGTATGAATTGGCTCAAACTATGGGATTTTTTCAGATATTTTGGGCATGAGTCGTGTGGCAGATCGTGCCAAAATTGCTGGCTTCTGTCCAAAAAACCATCGCATGAGCTTCGCTGAGGAATTGTTGAATGACTTCAACAGTGATCCAGATTTGTTTGAAAGGGTTATAACTGGAATAATGGGTATATAATTATGACATCGAAACCAAATTCTAATCGCCCCAATGGAAGATCCCAGGAGAGTTAAGACCAAAAAAAACGCCAAGTTCGATCAGATATAGAGGGTTTGTTCACTGTTTTCTTTACATATCCTAGCGAAGTGCATCAGGAGTTCTTGCTCACTATTTTCTTCGACTACCGTGGCGTACGTAGTCCATCAATAGTTCTTGTCACATGGTTGTACGGTCGATAAGGAGTGTCTTTGGCCGAAAACAACACCGTTATCATGTCTCAGCCACCATATTCACCAGATTTGGTCCCCATTGACTTTTTCTTTCTGTTCCTAAGATTGGGGAGACCAAGGAAAGGACTGCGTTTTGCGTCAAATGACAAGATAAAAATTGAATCGTTAAGAGAGCTCAAGGACATACCAAAAAGTGCATAT